ACTCAGTAAAGTCAGACTCAGTAAAGTCAGACTCAGTAAAGTCAGACTCAGTAAAGTCAGACAGATCAGTAAAGTCAGACTCAGTAAAGCAGACTCAGTAAAGTCAGACTCAGTAAGTCAGACTCAGAAGTCAGACTCAGTAAAGAAGTCAGACTCAGTAAAGTCAGACTCAGTAAAGTCAGACTCAGTAAAGTCAGACTCAGTGAAGTCAGACTCAGTAAAGTCAGACTCAGTGAAGTCAGACTCAGTAAAGTCAGACTCAGTAAAGTCAGACTCAGTAAAGTCAGAGTCAGACTCAGTACAGACTCAGTAAAAGTCAGACTCAGTAAAGTCAGACTCAGTCAGACTCAGTAAGTCAGACTCAGTAAAGTCAGACTCAGTGAAAGTCAGTCAGTAAAGTCAGATCAGTAAAGTCAGACTCAGTAAAGTCAGACTCAGTCAAAGTCAGACTCAGTAAAGTCAGACTCAGTGAAGTCAGACTCAGTGAAGTCAGAACTCAGAATCAGTAAAGTCAGACTCAGTAAAGTCAGACTCAGTAAAGTCAGACTCAGTAAAGTCAGACTCAGTAAAGTCAGACTCAGTAAAGTCAGACTCAGTAAAGTCAGACTCAGTAAAGTCAGACTCAGTAAAGTCAGACTCAGTAAAGTCAGACTCAGAGTCAGTGAAGTCAGACTCAGTAAAGTCAGACTCAGTAAAGTCAGACTCAGTAAAGTCAGACAGACTCAGTAAAGTCAGACTCAGTACTCAGTAAAGTCAGACTCAGTAAAGTCAGACTCAGTCAGACTCAGTAAAGTCAGACTCAGTCAGACTCAGTGAAGTCAGACTCAGTAAAGTCAGACTCAGTAACAGACTCAGTAAAGTCAGACTCAGTCAGTGAAGTCAGACTCACTAAAGTCAGACTCAGTAAAGTCAGACTCAGTAAAGTCAGACTCAGTAAAGTCAGACTCAGTAAGTCAGACTTGCGGCTCAGCTCATAAACTCCAGTTTATTTAATATTTCAGTCTTTTCACTTTAACACAAACAAATCAAACTCATCAAATCTGATCAGTTTATTTAATTTCAGCTCTAAACTAAAGAGCTCCAGTGCGTTTTTAAAGAGGCACTGTGTAACTTTTCTGATGGATGGACTTCCACCTCCATGGAGACACTTTTACTTTGATTGGTCCTGTAATGTCCCAAAATATGGCATAAAACGAATAGGAGGCAACTTTACTTTTATTTATTTTTATTTTTATTTATTTGTATTTGTGTTGGTCTTTAATTTATTTGAATTTGTAATATTTATTTAAATTATTTACTTTAATTCGCTTCATTTTATTTTTTATTTTTTATTTTAATAAATAGGTTTACTCTAGAATATTTTACCGGCCAAGCTATAAACTCCAACAGAAAAGTTACGTAGTGCAACTTTAAAGTCCAGATGTGTCCAGGTTTGTGCAAAAATCCTCAAAATCCCGTGTGTCAGATGCCCTCCCCGTAGTTTAAATTCAGATTTCAGTCTCGGATTTTTTTAGTTTTTCTAAAATGGTGTAAATTTTGCGCGGCGTTTCTGGGTGAGAGGAAGGACACGCTCAGACTCTGCGTCGGTTTTTTTTTACGAGCGGAGGAAGTCAAGACAATCGCCATGGAGACAAACAGCTGGCTCATTTGCATTTTACCCATCATGCCGCGGGCCGATTTGCATATTACCCACGATGCCGTTCTGTCCCCTCCGGCTCCTGTCAGCTCATTAAGGCTCCGTCTCCTGCACAAAATCTAAATCTGCACCACCGCACGAAAAACCTGTTCTACCAGTTTCATCAGGTTTCCTCTGCACCTCGGACTTAAAGCCACAGTGCGGGACTTTCCCCGGCGCGATTCCGTGGAAATAGAAAGTTAAAGCCGCACTACGGAACATGGAGATGCAGATTAGAGCCAAAAACGAAGAAACACGACCAAAATGAGCAAAAAAACGCTTTATTTTTTTGTCTTAAAATGTCCAAATTACAGAGAAAGTCCTGGTCTGGTCCCGGTCTCAGTCTTGATCACCCGACAGACTAAAGGGAACCACCGGGCCCTGGTTTAGTCCTGGTTTAGTCCTGGTTTAGTCCTGGTTTAGTCCTGGTTTAGTCCTGGTTTAGTTCCTGGTTTAGTCCTGGTTTAGTCCTGGTTTAGTCCTTTTAGTCCTGGTTTAGTTCTGGTTTAGACCTGGTTTAGTCCTGGTTTAGTCCTGGTTTAGAGTCCTGGTTTAGTCCTGGTTTAGTCCTGGTTTAGTTCCCTGGTTTAGTCCTGGTTTAGTAGTCCTGGTTTAGTCCTGGTTTAGTTCTGGTTAGTCCTGGTTTAGTCCTGGTTTAGACCTGGTTTAGACTGGTTTAGGTTTAGTCCTGGTTTAGTGGTTTAGTCCTGGTTTAGTCCTGGTTTAGTTCTGGTTTAGTCCTGGTTTTAGTTCCTGGTTTTAGTCCTGGTTTAGTTCTGGTTTAGTTCCTGGTTTAGTTCTGGTTTAGTCCTGGTTTAGTTCTGGTTTAGGTCCTGGTTTAGTCTTGGTTTAGTTCCTGGTTTAGTCCTGGTTTAGTTCTGGTTTAGTTCCTGGTTTAGTCCTGGTTTAGTTTGGTTTAGTCCTGGTTTAGTTTAGTTCTGGTTTAGTCCTGGTTTAGTCCTGGTTTAGTCCTGGTTTAGTTCCTGGTTTAGTCCTGGTTTAGTCCTGGTTTAGTCCTGGTTTAGTTCTGGTTTAGTCCTGGTTTAGTTCTGGTTTAGTCCTGGTTTAGTTCTGGTTTTAGTCCTGGTTTAGTTCTGGTTTAGTCCTGGTTTAGTCCTGGTTTAGTTCTGGTTTAGTCCTGGTTTTAGTCCTGGTTTAGTCCTGGTTTAGTCCTGGTTTAGTTCTGGTGGTTTAGTCCTGGTTTAGTCCTGGTTTAGGGTTTTAGTCCTGGTTTAGTCCTGGTTTTAGTTCTGGTTTAGTTCTGGTTTAGTCCTGGTTTAGTCCTGGTTTAGTCCTGGTTTAGTCCTGGTTTAGTCCTGGTCTTCGGTCTCAGGTTTAATGAGAGTCTAAATCAAGAGCTTATCTCCTCCACACACCTGCTCCTGAAAGAAAGAAAGAAAGAAAGAAGAAGAGAGGGAGAGAAAAGAAGTGAGGGAGAGAAAAGAAGAGGATTAGGGAGGGAGGAAAGGAGGAGAGAAAAGAAAAGAGCGAGAAGAGAGAGGGAAAGGAAGAGAGAAGTTAGAGAGAGAGAATAGAAAAGACAGGGAGGGAGAGAGAGAAAAAGAAACGAGGGAGAAAGAGACGGCGAGAAAGGGAGAGAAGAAGAAAGAGAGGAGAGACAGAGAGAGAGGAAGAGAGAGAGAGAGAGGAAGCGAGTGGGAGAAAAGAAGAGAACAAGAAGAGAGAGGGAGAAGAAGAGAGGGAGAGAGAGAGAGAAAAAAGAGAGGGAGGGAGGGAGAAAAAGAAAGAGAGGGGAGAAAGATAAAGAAGAGAGAGGAGGAAAAAAAGAGAACGGAGAGAAAGAGCTCAGAATGTCTCTTTCACCTGTCACTGTGTTCACCTGTCACAGTTTCACCTGTCACTTTCACCTGTCATTGTTTCACCTGTCACTTTTTCACCTGTTTTCACCTGTCACTGTCACCTTTTCACCTGTCACACCTGTTTTTCACCTGTCACACCCTGTCATTCACCTGTCACACCTGTCACTTTCACCTGTCACTTTTTCACCTGTCACTTTTTCACCTGTCACACCTGTCACTTTTCACCTGTCACTGTTTCACCTGTCACAGTTTCACCTGTCACTTTTTCACACTTTCACCTGTCGTCACTGTTCACCTGTCACACTGTCACTTCACCTGTCACTTTTTCACCTGTCACTTTTTCACTGTCACCACCTGTCACACCTGTCACTTTTCACCTGTCACATTTTCACCTGTCACTTTTCACCTGTCACTTGTTTGTTTCACCTGTCACACCTGTCACTTTCACCTGTCACTTTTCACCTGTCACTTTTCACCTGTCACCTGTCACAGTTTCACCTGTCACATTTTCACCTGTCACACCTGTCTCACCTGTCACTTTTCACCTGTCACTTTGTCACCTTTCACCTGTCACTCTTTCACCTGTCACTCTTTCACCTGTCACTTTTCACCTGTCACTCTTTCACCTGTCACTCAGAGAATTCCGGAGGAGTTTTAAGTTTGTAATTTTAACAGAATTTTCACTTTGGAAAAAAACGGATCAGAACATTTTCAAAATAAACATCTGCAAATCCAGAACTGAACCAGGTCCAGACCGAGACCAAGACCGAAGACCGAGACCGAGACCGAGACCGAGTGTTCCTGTGAATCTGATTTTCTACTTTTCACTTTTTATTGAAATGAAATCAAAACATGTTTTTAAAAACTCCGGAGCCAAAAACTTTAATTCCTCAGATGTGACTCGACTCGAACCATCTGCTCCAAAAACTCAAACTTTAAATAAAAATATTCATCATCAACAAACCAGAACTGAACCAGGACTAAAACAGGACTAAACCAGAACTGAACCAGGACTGGACCAGGACTAAACCAGGACTAAACCAGGACTAAACTAAACCAGGACTAAAACAGGACTAAACCAGAACTGAACCAGGACTGGACCAGGACTAAACCAGGACTAAACCAGAACTAAACCAGGACTAAACCAGGACTAAACCAGGAACTAAACCAGGACTAACCACTAGACCAGGACTAAACCAGGACTAAACCAGGACTAAACCAGGACTACTAAACCAGGACTAAACCAGGACTAAACCAGGACTGAACCAGAACTAAACCAGGACTGAACCAGGACTGAACCAGGACTGAAACCAGGACTAAACCAGGACTAAACCAGGACTAAACCAGGACTGAACCAGGACTAAACCAGGACTAAACCAGGACTGAACCAGGACTAAACCAGTTTCAGGTCCAGTTTTGTTTCTTTCAAACAGATGTACAGTTTTTTTTGTTTTTTTTAAATATAATATAATGTTTTCTGTTAAATGTTTGTTGTGTATTTTCAGGTGGGTTTGCAGAACGACCCGAGTTGTGTGGAGGAAATCCTCAGGGTGAGTCTGACTCTGAACTTTAAAACATTTCAAGTCTGTGATGTTTGACGTTTCACTGTGAATCCTCCATGTTATTTACAAACTTCATCTCAGTCACTCAGTCGCTGTCTGTCCGGTTTTCATTTCTACTATGTTTTTTTTTTTTTTACACTCACTTTTTGGTTCACTCATGTCAGTGACCGGTGCCCGCTGACATGGCACAGCGGCATCGCCTGTGGCCGCGACAGTGGCAGAATTGTAATCGTTAACTCTTGTAAACTCCAAAAACGTGCATTGGGCGTGTGAGAAATCGAACAGGTCGTTGCGCTCGTCATTGACGATGGAGCCACAGGTGCGTTACTGGACACGAGCACTTTCCAATAACATATAAATGTGCCACCATAGGCGGCACTATATTGTTTTTGTTCTGCTTTTTTTCTTCTTCTTATTTTTCTAATCACATGGCTCAGGTTCGGTGACCTGTCGCCCATGAAAACCCATGTTTCAAGACCCAACAGGTCTAGAAAAAAAGGGAAGAACAGGGCACTTTAGCGCCTCCTGCAAGTGCTGCAAGTGCTGCTCATTGCCGCTTGCGGTTCTATTTGTTGTTATGAAATAAAATGTTCGTGTGTTGCTTTTACGTTTATGTTCAGAACACAGTCGTCTTTGTACTCGGCAGCATCACCTGCTCGTCTGTGTGGAGATATTAATGCCACACTGCGGAACATTCCAGACAAAACATCTCCGTAGAGACCAGTAAAGTCACACGTGGTGAATCACAGACGGTCGTCGGGGTCACGGGGGCGAGTGCGGCGACGAGCCTCTGACCCCCGTCGCTGCCATCGCCGTAGTAACAGCATCACAACAGCGACATCATCTCTCAGAGCGCACTGATGTCAGAGGGCTGTCGCCTAGCAACGCTGCATCCTCTCATCAGGACCACAGACACACAGAGACTAAACCAAGACTAAACCAAGACTAAACCAGGACTGAACCAGGACTAAACCAAGACTGAACCAAGGACTAAACCAGGACTAAACCAGAACTAAACCAAGACTGAACCAGGACTAAACCAAGACTAAACCAGACTAAACCAGGACTAAACCAGGACTAAACCAGGAGGACTAAAGGACTAAACCAGACTAAACCAGGACTAAACCAAGACTAAACCAGGACTAAACCAGGACTAAACCAAGACTACTAAACCAGACTAAACTAAACCAAGGACTAAACCAGGACTAAACCAGGACTAAACCAAGACTAAACCAGACTGACTAAACCAAGGACTAAACCAGGACTAAAACTAAACAAGACTAAACCAGGACTAAAACTAAACAGGACTAAACCAAGACTAAACCAGGACTAAACCAGGACTAAACCAGGACTAAACAAGGACTAAACCAGGACTAAACAGGACTAAACCAGGACTAAACCAGGAGACTGAAAACCAGGACTAAACCAAGGACTAAACCCAGGAGACTAAACCAAGGACTAAACCAAGACTAAACCAAGACTGACTAAACCAAGACTAAACCAGACTAAACCAGACTAAACCAGAAAACCAGGACTAAACCAAGACTAAAGACTAACCAGGACTAAACCAGACTAAACCAAGACTGAACCAGGACTAAACCAAGACTAAACCAGAAACCAAGACTAAACCAGGACTAAACCAGGACTAAACCAAGACTAAACCAGACTAAACCAGAACTAAGGACTAAACCAAGACTGAACCAGGACTAAACCAGGACTAAACCAAGACTACTAAACCAGAAAACCAGAGACTGAACCACTGACTAAACCAAGACTAAACCAGACTAAACCAAGACTAAACCAAGGACTAAACCAAGACTAAACCAGGACTAAACCAAGACTGAACCAGGACTAAACCAGGACTAAAACCAAGACTAAACCAGGACTAAACCAGACTAAACCAGGACTAAACCAGGACTAAAACTAAAGGACTGAAGACTGAAACCAGGACTAAACCAGAGACTGAACCAGGACTAAACCAGGACTAAACTAAACCCAAGACTGAACCAGGACTAAACCAAGACTAAACCAGAAACCAAGGACTAAACCAGGATTAAACCAGGACTAAACCAGACTAAACCAAAGACTAAACCAGGTCTAAACCCAAAGATGTGTTTAGAGTATTTCACCAGAGAACGAGGGAGCGAGGGAGTGTGAAAGAGAGAGAGAGAGAAACAGAGCGAGGGGAGAAGAGGAGAAGAATGTTTCTCCATAAAAATCGAGCGCGTCATCGGGAACGTGAGTCATCGACAGAACAGATGCATGATGGGAAACTGTGACATCACCCGGACATTACACACTCACCTTTGACCTCTGGAAGAGAGAGAGAGAGAGAGACAGAGAGAGAGAAAAAGAAAACAGAGGAGGAGAGAGAGAGAGACAGAGAGAGAGAAAAAGAAATCAGAGGAGGAGAGAGAGAGAGAGACAGAGAGAGAAAAAGAAAACAGAGGAGGAGAGAGAGAGACAGAGAGAGAGAAAAAGAAAACAGAGAGGAGAGAGAGAGAGAGACAGAGAGAGAGAGAAAAAGAAATCAGGAGGAGAGAGGAGAGACAGAGAGAGAAAAAAGAAAGAGGAGAGAGAGAGAGAGAGGAGAGAGAAAGAAAGAAGAGAGGAGGAGAGAGAGAGAACAGAGAGAGAGAGAGAAAAAGAAAACAGAGGAGGAGAGAGAGAGAGACAGAGAGAGAAAAAGGAAACAGAGGAGGAGAGAGAGAGAGACAGAGAGAGAAAAGAAAAAAGAGGAGGAGAGAGAGAGAGACAGAGAGAGAGAAGGAAGGGGGAGAGAAGAACAGAGACAGAGAGTAAAAGAGAAAACAACAGAAGAGAGGAGTGAGAGAGACACAGGGAGAGAGGAAGAGAGAGAGACAGAGAGAGAGAAAGGAGGGGTAGAGAGGAAGAGAGAGAGACAGGGAGAGAAAGAAACAGTAAGGGTAGAGAGGGAGAAAAAAGAAAGGGAGAGAGAGAGAAAAGAGGGGTAGAGAGAGAGAGAGAAAGGAGGAGTAGAAAGAGAGAGAGGGAGAAAGGAGGGTTAGAGAGAGAGAGAGAAAAGCGGGGTAGAGAGGAAGAGAGACAGAGAGGGAGAAAGAGAGAAAGGAGGGTTAGAGAGAGAGAGAAAGAGAGAGAAAGGAGGAGTAGAGAGAGAGAGAGAGAGAGGTTATGGAGTGATGTAGAGAGAGAGAGAAAGAGAGAGAAAAGAGGGGTAGAGAGGAAGAGAGAGAGAGGGAGAGAAGAGGGGTAAAGAGGAAGGGAGAGAAGAAGAAAGAGGGAGAGAGAGGAAGACGGAGAGAGAGAAAGGAGGGGTAGAGAGGAGAAGAGCGAGAAGAAGAAAGAGGGAGAGAGAGGAAGAGGGAGAAAAGAGGGGTAGAGGGGGGAGAGAGAGAAAGAGAGAGGAAAAAAGAGAAAGAGGGAGAGGAGAGAGAGCGAGGAGGGAGAAAGAGAAGGAGAGAACTTCAAAAGAGGGGTTGATAAGGAGAGAGAGAGAAGAGAGGAGGAAGAGAGAAGAAGAGAGAGAGAGGGAAGAAGAAAGAGGGAAAGAGAGAAGGAGAGAACAACCGACAAGAGATGAGAGAGAGAGAGAGAGAAGAGTGAAGAGAAGAGAGAGAGAGAGAGTGAAAGAAAGAGAAAAGGATAGAGACAGGCTCGGAGAAAAGAAGAAGGAGGGAGAGAAGGAAAGGATGAAGAATGGATGAGAGCCAGAGAAAAAGGTAAAGAGAGAGAGAGAGAGAGAGAGGTTATGGAGTGATGTGGAGAGAGAGAAAGAGAGAAGGATAGAGAGATGGAGGGATGAGTGCAGTGGAAAGTGGAAAGAGAAAGGAGGGGAGAGAGAAGAAGAAAGAGAAAGGAGAGAGAGAGAGAGGAGAGAAAGAGAAAGGAGAGGTAGAGAGAGAGAGAGAGAGTGGGAGAGAAAGAGAAGGAGAGAAGAGAGAAGAGAGAGAGAGAGGAGAGAAGAGAGAGAGAGAGAGAAAGGGAGAGAAGAGAGAGAGAGAGGAAGAGAGGAAGAGAAAGAAGAAGAGAGAGAGAGAGGAGAAGAGAGAGAAGAGGAGAGAGAGAGAGAAAGAGAGAGAGAGAGAGAGAGAAGAGAAAGAGAGAGGAGAGAGAAGAGAGAGAGGAGAGAGAAGAGAGGAGAGAGGAGAGGAGAGAGAGAGAAAGAGAAGAGAGGATAGAGAGAAAGAGGGAGAGGAGAAGAGGAGGGGTAGAGAGAAGAGAGAGGGAGAGAGAGAAAAGGAGGAGAAAGAGAGAGAGGAAGAGAAGAAGAAAGAGAGGTAGAGAGAGAGGGAGAGAAGAGAAAGGAGAGAGAGAGAGAGAGGGAGAGAAAGAGAAAGGAGGGAGTAGAGAGAGAGAGGGAGAAGAAAGAAAGAGAGAAGAGAGAGAGGGAGAGAAAGGAGAAAGGAGAGTAGAGAGAGAGTGAGGAGAGAAGAGAAAGGAGGGATAGAGAAGAAGAAAGAAAGAGGAAGAGGAGAGAGAGCGAGAGGGAAAAAAGGGAAGAGAGGAGAGAACTTCAAAAGAGGGGATAAGGAATAGAGGGGGGGAGAGGAAGAGAGAGAAGCAAAGGAGGGAGAAAAGAAAGGGAGGGAAGAGAAAGAGGAAAGGAGAGAGAGAGAACAACCGAAGAGATGAGAGAGAGAGAGAGAGAGAGAGAGTGAAGAAAGAGAAAAGGATAGAGACAGGCTCGGAGAAAAGAAGAAGGAGGGAGAGAAGGAAAGGATGAAGAATGGATGAGAGCCAGAGAAAAAGGTAGAGAGAGAGAGAGAGAGAGGAGAGAGGTTATGGAGGCAAAAGGAGTGATGTGGAGAGAGAAAAAGAGAGAAGGATAGAGAGATGGAGGGATGAGTGCAGTGGAAAGTGGAAAGAGAAAGGAGGGGTAGAGACGAGAGAGAGAGAGGGAGAGAAAGAGAAAGGAGGGGTAGAGAGAAGAGAGAGAGAGAGAGGGAGAGAAAGAGAAAGGAGAGATAGAGAGAAGGAGAGAGAGAGGGAGAGAAAGAGAAAGGAGGAGAGAGAGAGAGAGAAGAGAAAGAGAAGAAAGAAAGAGGGAGAGAGAGGAAGAGGGAGAGGAGAGAGAGCGAGGAGGGAAAAAGGGAAGGAGAGAACTTCAAAAGAGGGGTTGATAAAGAGAGGGGGGGAGAAGGAAGAGAGAGAGCAAGGAGGGAGAAGAGAAGGAGGTGGAAAAAAAGGAGGAAGAAGAAAGAGGGAAAGAGAGACAGAGAGAACAACCGACAAGAGATGAGAGAGAGAGAGAGAAGAGTGAAAGAAAGAGAGAAGGATAGAGACAGGCTCGGAGAAAAGAAGAAGGAGGGAGAGAAGGAAAGGATGAAGAATGGATGAGAGCCAGAGAAAAAGGTAGAGAGAGAGAGAGAGAGAGAGAGGTTATGGAGTGATGTGGAGAGAGAGAAAGAGAGAAGGATGGAGGGATGGAGGGATGAGTGCGGTGGTGCAGAGGAGGTGAGTCAGACTCAAACCAAAAATAAACTCCGGTTTCACGTTTGACTCGAGCTCAACGACCAGAGAAGAAGAAACAGACCAGTTACTCCAGATGCCCTCCCACACTCTCTCCTACACTTACTCCAGATGCCCTCCCACACTCTCTCCTACACTTACTCCAGATGCCCTCCCACACTCTCTCCTACACTTACTCAGATGCCCTCCCACACTCTCTCCTACACTTACTCCAGATGCCCTCCCACACTCTCTCCTACACTTACTCCAGATGCCCAAAAATGTGATCTTTTAACGCACTTTTATTGTAAATATAAATGAGTCTTCGAGGTTTTCTGAAGGCTCAAGAAAAAATACTGAATGAATTTTTGTTCTACTAATATATTTTTCCAGTATGTTTTATTCGGTGAGTAATAAACACGACGCTGGTCATCATTTCTAGATCGTTGTTTAAACTTGGACTGATATTTCTTGGGAAACAAAGGGTTAATATAATGAAATGGAAATGGACCAATCACAGTTTTTCGTCCAGTTGTATCCGGGTAAATCGGTGACTCCCCCTGCAGCGCTGAACTAAACAAACACCTGCGGGAGCTTCACTGGCTGGAACGAAGTTTGAGATTGACAGTTGTCTGAGCCAATCGGATTTCGCCGAGTTATGGGCGGGATCGGATCACCAAATCTTCCGGACCTTCGCGAAAACCCCGTGATAGCGTCATGTAAGCGAGACCACAGCGACGAAAACGGCACCGGACGCCTCGATTTGGACGGAGAAGAACGAGAAAGACCCTTGAACCGGCGCCCGCGGAAGCTCAGAGCGCGCGGCCGGTCCGTTGCATCTCACGACGGTCAGAAAAAAGTGAAAAAAGTGTAAAGAAAAGACGTCAAATTTAAAGAAACGGTCGCGGTGGACTTTTTCAAAATAAAAGCCAGTGAGAAACAGACGTTTACAATAAAATAAATAAATAAATAATAAAAACTGCATTAACTAACTGGAAGATATTTTGTTTCATCAGATTTAGAATTTTAAATGCGACTGAATTTCTCACTTTGAATTTTTTAACTCTGAAAAAAGAGTTATTTTTATTCTGAATTTTAGTGGCTGAAATTTGAAGTTTACTTTCAATTCAAAATAAACAAAAAAATCACCACAGATATTTTCAAGCCCTCAAATTCACCGGTCGAAATTCAGAACGTAAAATTCGCAGTGAAAAATTTCACAGCAAAAATCCAAGATGCCAAGGCAGAAGCAATCGATCACGTGAGCAAGGAGGATGGGGCTGTTTCCTATTGGCTGTTCGCATCTGTGGGCGGGGCTTACACTTAACCAATCAAAGAGATGAGGTTTTATGAGGCAAATTTTGACCAATCAGATCACGTCACTGCAACATTTTGTCTTTGTTACTAAGTTCGATCGGATCACTTTGGATCGATTGCTTCTGCCTCGGCATCTCGGATCTTTACTGTGAATTTTCTTCACCGCGAGTTTTACACTCTGAATTTTGACTGTTGAATTTGAAGGCCTGAAAATATTTGTGCTGAATATTTAAAAGGTGATTTTTTTAAATATTGAATTTTATACAGTGAAAATGTACACTTAAAATTTCAGCAAAAAAAAAAAATCATAATAAAAATAATTCAAACATGTTTTTTCAGAGTTTAAAATTTCAAAGTGAGAAATTCAACAGCGTTTAAAATTCAAAATTTGATGAAACAAATAATCTTCCATAATTAACGGTGTTAAAGTAATTGTCGGTGATAATGAATTGATGAGTGAACGCAAATTGAACGTGTTATTGTGGCCGGCCCGAGTTTTTAATGATCTGACTAAACGAGCGCTCGGACAAGAGTTTGATTTGATCCATTTGTTTACCTGTTTTTATTTCATTTCCTGTTTTCATTCCATTTGTTTACTTGTTTTTATTTCATTTCTTTACCTGTTTTTATTCCATTTGTTTACTTGTTTTTAATTTCTTTTATTTACCTGTTTTTATTCATTGTTTACCTGTTTTTATTCCATTTGTTTACCTGTTTTTATTTCATTTGTTTACCTGTTTTTATTTCATTTACCTGTTTTTATTCCATTTGTTTACTTGTTTTTATTTCGTTTGTTTACCTGTTTTTATTTCATTTGTTTACCTGTTTTTATTTCATTTGTTTACCTGTTTTTATTCCATTTGTTTACCTGTTTTTATTCCATTTGTTTACTCTGTTTTTATTCCATTTGTTTACCTGTTTTTATTTAATTTGTTTACCTGTTTTTATTCCATTTGTTTACCTGTTTTTATTTAATTTGTTTACCTGTTTTTATTCCATTTGTTTACCTGTTTTTATTCCATTTGTTTACCTGTTTTTATTTCATTTGTTTACCTGTTTTTATTCCATTCGTTTACCTGTTTTTATTTCATTTGTTTACCTGTTTTTATTTCATTTGTTTACCTGTTTTTATTCCTTTTGTTTACCTGTTTTTATTCCATTCGTTTATTGTTTTTATTTCATTTGTTTACCCTGTTTTATTCATTTTTTACCTGTTTTTATTCATTTACCTGTTTTTGTTTACCTTTTTTATTCTTTTGTTTATTTGTTTTTATGTTTTTATTTCATTTGTTTACCTGTTTTTATTCCATTTGTTTTTATTTTTTATTGTTTATTCATTTGTTTACTGTTTTTATTCAATTCCATTTGTTTACCTGTTTTTATTCCATTTGTTTACTTGCTTTCATTTCTTTTGTCTGTAGTTTGTGTATTTGATTTGTTTGTCTGTAGTTTGTGTATTTGATTTGTTTGTCTGTAGTTTGTGTATTTCTTTTGTTTACCTGTAGTTTGTTTGTTTGTTTGTGTGTTTGTTGTTTTCAGGAGATGACTCACTCGTGGCCTCCTCCTCTCACGGCGATTCACACTCCGGTCAAAGCAGAACACACCAAGTTCCCCATCCCCACCAAGGTCAGACTCAACAACAACAACAACAACACAACACACACAACAACACAACAACAACACACAACAACAACAAACACAACAACACAACAACAACACACAACAACAACAACAACACAACAACACACAACACAACAACAACACACAACAACAACAACACAACAACACAACAACAACACACCACAACAACAACACACACACAACAACAACAACACACAACAACAACGAAGCACAACACAACAACATACACACAACAACACAACAACAACAACACACACACACAACAAACAACACACACACAACACAACACAACAACAACAACAACAACAACAACAACAACAACAACAACACACAACACACAACAACAACAACAACACACAACAACAACACACAACAACAACAACAACACACAACAACAACCACACAACAACAACAACAACACAACAACAACAACAACAACAACAACAACAACACAACAACAACAACAACAACACACAACAACACAACACACACACACAACAACACAACAACACAACACACACAACAACAACAACACAACACAACAACAACAACACACAACAACAACAACAACAACAACAACAACAACACACACAACAACAACAACAACAACAACAACAACACACAACAACAACAACACACAACAACAACAACAACACAACACAACACACAACACACAACACACAACAACAACAACACACAACAACAACAACACACACAACAAACAACAACAACAACACACAACAACACACAAACAACAACAGCAACACAACAACACAACAACAACAACAACAACAACAAACAACAACACACACAACAAACAACAACACACACACACACAACAACAACA